TAGCTACAAATATGCCCGGCTCCTTTACAATATTTTTTTCATCACTAACCTATTTCCTCCCGGCAAAAAAAAAAAAAAATTAAAGAAATAAATAGAAAAAAAAGCCTTTTCAAAGCTTTTTTGCAAAAAATCTTTCTTTCAAAAAAGCTATTAACCCCAAATTTAAAGAAAAACAAAATATTGGAGAAAAAAAATAAGGGTACAACCCTCCTTGCCCAGGAAACAAATTTAACACGCATGTTCATTTACACAAATGTTGTCACAATAAAATAAAATTAAAGTAAAGTCTGAAAGATCAAGTAAAATAAAAAAAATAAAAAAAGAGATTCAAAAAAGCGGAGTTCTCCAGTTGGCTCTGAAAACTATTTTAAAATGTACTTTTATTAAATTTACACAAATGCTGGAAGTTTCAGCTTGTCTGAAGAGTAGTGAAAAATCAATGGCAAGATTCCGGGACAACTAATAGCCGACAAACAACTTTTGAAGTCAAACTAACGTTTGAAAAATAATACAAATTTATTCTAAAGCACTATTTTAGTTAAATAAGAATTTATTTTTCTAATCGTTTTGTGAGGGTTGAACACCAACGCAACAAAAAGGAGGTTATTAGTGTGCCCACAACCTTTAGTAGAAGGTTAAAGAGCTTTCCTTGCCATCTTTTTTTAGATAGATAATATACGATAAAATGCAATAAAAGATTATATCTGATAAACACTTCTTAAATTATAATTTATATCAGATAGTTTAAATGGCTTATAACTTTTTAAAAACTGTTTTAGCAGTCTATGTCTTGCGGATACCAGATGTCCTAGCGTATACCGGATCTATGCGGATACCGCTTTTTCTCCAGTTTTTTTTCTTTGTATTTGCTTTTTCAATCAAGTATTTTGTTATGGTAATATGATGCAATGTTACATATTTCTTATGAGGGTAGGAAAAGTGGCATAATTTTGAAGCAATGGGTTTAGGCAATGTGTTCATGCATGTGTAAATCTTGACTAAGCCACTGTTTGTTAGAGCTCTAATGAACAGTGACTTTACACATGCATGAATTACCCATAGCTTAGAAATTGTGCCACTTGACCACCCCCCCCAACCTCCCGCCAAAGTTTCATTATGACCACTAAACTAATTCCGCGTAACAAAAAAAAAGGAATACAAAATCAATGAATATTTAGCAGCCCCTATAAGCACTCATGCGGCAGGGAGTCCATCTCTACTCTATTGGTATACCCGTATGTTGATTATATTTGCCCCTAATTATAATAGAACTACCCTTTATTATCTACGTGAAAAAAAATATTTTTTCTATGTCCCACCACAATATGAGAGTATTACTTGAAGTATTACCCAGAAGTGCCCTCAAACAGGCGATGGATTTGAATACGCTACCTATCTCAAAATTTATGTTAAATCAACATGAAATAACTATTTTTGAGAAAGTAAATAATATTACTTACATTTTACTTACTTACAATGTATAGTATTTAGTTTCAAAGATAAAATACATTTTATTTGTATAAGTAAATAACAACTTTTTTTAAATTACTTTTCGCGTTTTTACATCAAAATAAGTAAAAGTGCCATCCCAAGTCTGTGCTCTTTTTGAACAAGAGGTTATTGATTGATCAATTATATTCCTCCAATATTTTTTACCAGTTATAGACCAAGATACTGTTTTCTTCACAACAAAATACTATTTTATTCAGTTAATTCAAATAACTTTTTACTGAAAAGCTTGCTTAGATTAGAATTAACAGGAACTTCAGTTCCTGCAATTTGACAAAAAACAATAACAAATTAGTCAAAAAAGCAAATATTACCAAACCGTCCTTTGATTAAATAGTACATTTAGCGGTGCAATTTCGGTTCTTGTTGCCCATAAATGGTCAGATTTATAAACATAACCAGAGATGATTTAAACAGATGCACTAATTTGAACAGATGCAATAATTATGATTGACATAACATAACATATTATACTATTGTTAATTTTTGTATATTTGTGAACATTTAATAATTTTTGTATGGTAAAGCACTATTGTTACCATAAAATTTAAAAATTGTCATTCAGTAAAATTTATATACTGCCTTGTATATACAAGGGAGTATGATATATACCTTGTATGTATCATGGGTACACATGGTATACTAATTTTAATTTATAATAATATTATATATATAATACATGTATGATGAAGGAAATCTTTAAATTATTTTATGTTTCTGACAATTTATGCAGAAGAGTTACTTTAAAGGTTTTCTAATGTAGCTTTTTTGCTCTTATTTTTTAAGATAGTTTAAGTATATTTAAAAAAATCGTGAAGTAATAAAATCAACATATATGGAGTACAAAAACATTCTAAATGAAAAATTTTCTAGTTTATAGGTTCATCAAGAAGCATTGCTTCCTGATGAACTTTTTATATATATATATATTATATATATATATATATATATATATTATATATATATATATATATATATATATATATATATATATATATATATATATATATATATATATATATATATATATATATATATATATATATATATCTTTATATATATATATATATATATATATATATATATATATATATATATATATATATATATATATATATATCTTTATATATATATATATATTTATATATATATATATATATATATATATATCTTTATATATATATATATATATATATATATATATATATATATATATATATATATATATATATATATATATATATATATATCTTTATATATATATATATATTTTTATATATATATATATATATATATATATATATATATATATATAATATATATATATATATATATATATATATATATATATATAGAGAGAGAGAGAGAGAGAGAGAGAGAGAGAGAGATTTATATGTTTAGCATTTTTAACGGAAAAGGTAGAGAATATAAAATAAGAAAAAACTCAACTTAAAATTAAAAAGTATTTAATATTTATCTTTGAAAATAAATATTTAATTAACCGTTTGATAAATTGATTTAAAGTACACACACACAGAAAAAAGAAAAAGAAAAAAAAGATCAAAGAAAAATAAAACAAAAAGAAAAGAAAAAGAAATTCGAATAAAAAAAACAAAAACAAACGAAAAACACTTACGTAATTAAGAATAGAGTTAAAGAAACAAAAGAAAAAATAAACGTAAACAAATAAAAAAGAAAGACAAGAATAAAAGAAAGAAATAAACCATTTGAATGAAGAAAGAAATAATAATATTATATATATAATACATGTATGATGAAGGAAATCTTTAAATTATTTTATGTTTCTGACAATTTATGCAGAAGAGTTACTTTAAAGGTTTTCTAATGTAGCTTTTTTGCTCTTATTTTTTAAGATAGTTTAAGTATATTTAAAAAAATCGTGAAGTAATAAAATCAACATATATGGAGTACAAAAACATTCTAAATGAAAAATTTTCTAGTTTATAGGTTCATCAAGAAGCATTGCTTCCTGATAAACTTTATATATATATATATATATATATATTTATATATATATATATATATATATATATATATATATATATATATATATCTTTATATATATATATATATATATATATATATATATATATATATATATATATATATATATATAATATATATATATATATATATATATATATATATATATATATCTTTATATTTATATATTTATATATATATATATATATATATATATATATATATATATATATATATATATATATATATATATATATATATATATATATATATATATATAGAGAGAGAGAGAGAGAGAGAGAGAGAGAGATTTATATGTTTAGCATTTTTAACGGAAAAAGTATCTTAACTGTTACTTATTTTTAATTATTATTGTTATACTTATTTTTAATTATTATTGTTATACTTATTTTTAATTATTACTGTTATACTTATTTATATATATATATATATATATATATATATATATATATATATATATATATATATATATATATATATATATATATATATATCTTAACTGTTACTTATTTTTAATTATTATTGTTATACTTATTTTAATTATTACTGTTATACTTATTTTTAATTATTATTGTTATAAATTTTTTTCTTCTTCTTCTTCTTAGCATTTTTTCTTTATTCTATTTTACTTTTTAATGATGGTAGTGAAACAACCATGCGGCATATGCTTTAAGGCGGTTGCTAAAAATCATTCAGCAATTCAATGTGACCTATGTGACAAATGGATACACATAAAATGTAATCGAATTGACAAACTAACATATGAAAAAGTCAAAACTTTAAATACTTGGTATTGCCTAATCTGTATAAAAACATTTCTTCCATTCTCTAACAATTCGGATCTTGAGTTATCTACCATACTTGCTGGAAAGTCACTGAAATTCAACGGGGTAAAAAATCTATATTAAAATACAAATTTAAAAAAACCTTTTGGGGACCTCAATGACTTATCTTCCAACTCAATTAACTGTGAATATGTAGATGTTCCTATGTACAATAAATTGTCCCAAAAGTCTTTAAATTATTTCCACATAAACATATCTTCACTACCTTACCATATTGATGACTTTAAATTTTTTTTTTTTTTTTTTTTTTTTTTTTCACGCAAGCTTTCGAAGTGAACAGACGCTTTTGTGCGCAGAAAAGTATTAAAAATTCTACTGAATTAAATAAGAGTTATCGACTAGAAAAAAGTAAATAAATAAATAAAGTCTACGGAATTGAAGTATAATAAAGAAACAACTAAAAAACCTACGAATCTACTAACTAAAAAGATTCTATCAACATCAGGTATGGCTGTAACACTTAAAGAAATAAAAAAATGATGAAAGAAATGCCTAATGATTTTAAAAAGAAAACTTTAGTTTTATTAAAAAACCAAGAAAAAACAGTAATTGATATTATTAGTGCAAATACAAAAATATTAAACGAACGATTTGATAAATTTGAGAAAAATATCACTCAAAATGCTAACAAGATTAAAAAAATTGAAATAGAGCTTGAAGATATAAAAGAAAGTTTAAACTTCAACGAACACGTAATTGATAAAAAGATTGAAAGTAACAACAAACATTTTTTAAACAAAATCGACATCAACAAACAATTAGAGAAAGAAAGAACTAATAGTGAATTTTTAAACGAAAAAATCCGTAACCTCGAAGTTAGATCGCGGAGAAATAACTTAAGAATTGAGGGAATATGTGAAGACGAAGTAGAATCTTGGGACAAAACCGAAGAAAAAGTTCATTCCTTTTTTCTACAAAAACTGGGTATAAAGAGTATTGAAATTGAACGAGCACATCGCACTGGGCCAAAAAAAGATGGACGTTCGAGGGTGATAGTTTTAAAACTTCAACAATACAAAGACAAAGCTAAAATTTTAAAAGAATCAGCTCGTCTCAGAGGAACAAACATTTATGTAAACGAGGATTTTTCTCGCGAAACAGTTGCAATCAGAAGAAAACTATTTGCGAAAGTAAAAGTACGACGTTTAAACGGTGAGAATGTTTCGGTTCGTTACGATAAAATTATTTCTTTTAAAACTAATATTTTAAAACGAGGAAACGGAATATTAAATACTAAGGATCATTAAAGCAAACAAAAACAAAGATTATGGATTTATCTATGTATGGCGAAAATTTGAATTTCAGCAGTTCTGATGAAATAAGCTCTGATGAAGAAAGCGGAAATATAAAAGGTAACTTAATATATAAACATTTTCAGTTTAATAAATGCAAAATTTATTACATTTTTTTTGTTTATAAACAAAATAAATGCAATAAATAATCATATAGTCATTAACATATTTTTTAATTTAGAAGTCTATGAACAAAGTTTGAGTATCATTGAAAATAATTGTTTACCTACATGTGATATTGTTTATGGTATGTTTTTAGTCACTGTTACCGTACAAAAACTGCGAGTTTTTTTCTTAATTCTTCTATAAGAAAAAAAAAAAGAAAAAATGGTTTCAGTAGTATATATATGTTATTTAAATGGACAACACAAGAACAATCAAAACAAAAAAATTGTCGACATATAGAATTTATTTTTGCAACTTTTTGTGATTTAAAATTATTATCTGAAGTTTAAAATTAGTTAGTTTTTTGTAAGATAAACTAAGTTTTTCTAGCAGTTAACAGTTAAATTGACAGTACATTAAATGCTAGGTCTAGTACTTTAATATAAGCTTTTTTTTAAGCCTAAAAAGTTCTTTACTTATTTTTTATTTAAAGTTCTTTATTTAAAGTTCTTGAACACATTTATTAAACTTTTTTCTAATGATATTGCAAAACTCTATACAAAGGTTTGTGATATCATTTATTGTGCCTTTTTTTTTGTTGTTGTAAGAAATATTCAAAATAGTTTTATAGTCTATTTTCATATTCACTGAAAGTATACTGATCAATTTGATTTTAATTTTTATAGAAGGAAAATAAAATTAATTTATCATTGTAATTCACATGAAGAAGCATTAAACAGTGTGAAAAAATATGAGTTAGCAACTACAACAAGATTTGTTGTTTATAGTGTAACCAAGGACTTTGGAATAACAGGTAAACTATAGTTTGTAGTGACCTAGTTTTGAAAAAATATCATTTTGCATTACACAAATGTTTGCGATGTAAAATATATATATATATAATATATATATATATATATATATATATATATATATATATATATATATATATATATATATATATATATATATATATATATATGATATATATATATATATATATATATATATATATATATATATAAATATATATATATATATATATATATATAAATATATATATATATATATATGTGTGTGTATATATATATATATATATATATATATATATATATATATATATATATATATATATATATATATATATATATATATATATATATATATATATATATATATATATGTATATATATATATATATATATATATATATGTTTTGTTTTTTTAAGGTTGTAATAATATACTTATATATAATTATAAGGTTGTTAATATATATAAGTAATAAAATACTTATATATAATAATAAGGTTTTAATAATAACTTTTAATTTATATATATATATATATATATATATATATATATATATATATATATATATATATATATATATATATATATAATAATAATAATAATAATAATAATAATAATAATAATAATAATAATAATAATAATAATATACTTTTTTATAATAAATTTGTTTGTGTTGTTTTTAAATAATTTTTTAATAAGTTTAGTCACATTCCAAAAACTATATATATTTTTTTATAGAAATGATTGCAAAAAGTCATAATGTTCTATGGGAAGATTACGCCATTCAGTATTCAGGGATACCTCATATGGTTGTTGGTCACAAAATTTTAGATTGTCACCATGGTTTTGATAGGAATATTTCAGCGAAAAATAGTTATAAAAAAAATAAAAAAAATGCCAAGGTAATGTTGTCACTTTTATCTTTCATACTCAATTAAATTTTTTTTTCTTGTTTCTCTAATACCATAGAGTTCAAAAAAAACATTCCAAAAGTGGTGCCCATTAAATAAAAGTCTTCTTTTATCATTTGTTTCTTTTAGATGGATGATCACAGCTTTCAAAAAAATTATGTGATTCTGGAAGATACAAAAAAGTTTATGTGTTCTGCAAAGATAGTTATAAGAGAAATATTACAATTTCCTGATTTCAAGGTTTGAGTAAATAAATTATAGGTAACATGCCTTTTTTTAAATTTTGTATTGTATGGTGGTGTGACCTAAAGCAGCCCTGAATTGGATTTAAGGGTCCCCTAAGGTTAGTGGAAAAATGTATCTTTCTAAAAATATGCCTTTATTGAAATAGGATTAAGTCTCACTCAACTTTCTTGACTAAGTCCCTCTATAAACCCAGATTAGTCCTTATTGTTTTTGTATTATTGTTTTAATTTAGATACCTAAGCATTCAGCTTGGCACAAAAAAAAAGCATCAAAACTATTGAAAGAAAAATTAAAATTGTCATGTTTGAATGAAGTACCTTTTATTCGGAAAGTTGTTGTAGCTATTGATGATTTATCATGTCATGATAAACACCCTATTGGAAAGGTAAAAATAAAATTTTTGTATATACTTTGTACTTGCAAAAAGGTTAAAAACAGTACTGTAGTTTATTAATTAATTTACCATATTAAATATTATTTTAAATTAGGTAGAACTAATTTCTCAAGTAATCGATTCTCATATTTCAAAAAAGATTGAAGAATATGTTATAGAAGGAAGATTCTATCCCAACACTGCAACCATAAGATCACATATAGTAAAAATTTAAAAAAAGTTACGGTAAATCACAAATGTTGATTATTTCTTAGAATAAATTATACATATGAAATGATTTGTTTTACTAATTTAGATGTTTACTTGATTCATGTTTAAAGTAATCTTTAAAACTTTCATTTTATTAATGTTGTTGTTTCTATTTATAAAGGCATTCCATGATTGACCAAGAATGTCTTTTAATAAAATGTGAAGAATGGAAAAAATGTGATCCGTCTGTCAAAGTGTTTCTTAGACCAAACTGTAGTGGCGAAGATGGTGGTGATGAATGTTCATTTTTATTTTTTTATCAGTCACAGTGGCAAATAAAATAAAGTTTTTAATAATTTTCATTTGTTAATAAATAGTATGACAGTTTAAATATAAATTTGAAAGTAAATAATGTAATAAATAAAATAAATAATGTAAACCATTTAATAGAATATTTTGAACCGTAGTCATTTTTTAGTTCACTTGAAACTCTTTTTTTTTCATTGTGTAACTTATCTGTATTCGTTTTTTCTTTATCTTATTTTAAAATATAGAGAATTATTTTTAGGTTGCCGTGTTCTTATATGTGATTTCCATAGAGAGCAGGCATGGCATCGCTGTATTGTCAAAAAAATAAACAACTGCTCAGAATTTAAAGACCCAATAATTTCAATGCTACGAAATATTGCATGGGCACAAAATGAAAAGATGGCAGATGCAGCAATAGTTAAGCTAAAATGTTCCAACTTTTGGTTAGACAACAAATATCATAAATTTAAGAAATATATTACTAATTATTGGTTACAAATTAAAGAAGTGAGTATATTATAATTATTATCCCAAATTTAACATTATTTAACATTTTTTGCTATACATAACACAAGAATTGCAAATTTTAAAGCATTAATTTATGGTTAAAACAAGTTTAATTTATACTCATGTCAATGTGAATCTGTAAAAACAAGTGTTATTATTTTTATCTAGAAATGGATATGGGGGTATCGTCAGGATAGATTTTTAGTAAACCTTAATACCAACAATGGAATTGAAAGGCAACATGAATCTTTTAAATATTCTTATCTTCAAAGACATAAAAATTCATCAATTACTGGAATGCTTACTCTTTTAATAGAAGAGTTTTTTGCAGATTAATTTGAGAAGTATATTAAAAAGTTTTATTGTAGCCTGATTTGAAGGAGTTTATATTAATTTGTTTGTTTTTTTTGTGTTTATGTATATAAATATATTTATATGTATATATATATATAATATATATATATATATATATATATATATATATATATTTATATATATATATATATATATTTATATATATATATATAATATATATATATATATATATATATATATATATATATATATATATATATATATATATATATATATATATATATATAAATATATATATATATATATATATATATATATATATATATATATATATATATATATATATATATATATATATATATATTATTATTATTATTAAAGTTAATTTATTTTTACTTATTTTTTAAGGTATTCAGAATCTAATTACAAAATGGATTGTCGATTTAAACAATATAATTCTAATGTACCTGAATACTTGAAAAATAGGCATCACACCATTTTATTAAACATTGTTTAGCGAAGCAAAATTTGGCTAACAACACTGATCTAAATAAAGTGCAAATGAAAGATCCTGGTGTATTTGTAGTCAATAGCTTTTCTATTGCAAACAAAAATTACCTTGTTAACTTTGGCGATGAGAAGAACATGCCAAAATGTTCATGTAATGATTGGTTTAAATCTTCCTATCTATGCAAACACTTTTTTATAATTTTTAGAAAGTACCCACTAACATGGGGATGGGAGTCTATATCCTCTTTATATAGAAGTTCTCCATTTTTAAATATTGACACATTCACTAATGATTTTGTATAAAGTAAATCAAATATAATCAAGTGTAACCATGTGAATCATAATAGTTTCAACTTAATTAATGACACTATTTGCAGTACAACAACGATAAATCCATATAAAGATAGTACAAGAAAAAGAGGTTCTACAGCCTCTGAAGTCTGCAAAATGCTAGCAACCATAAAAAATTTAACATTTGATTTTGATGAATCATCAGAAGAACTATCTGATCTACATGAAACACTTTTAAATGTACTTAAAAAGCTTTATCAAGCAAGAAAAAAAGAGAAAGGTCTACCATTAAGCTCAGGTTATGGTATGCATGAATATGTACACAAAAAACAAAAAAATATAGTTGATTTACCTGTTGTTAAAAAAAATTTGTATTCCAATCGTGTGGGTGAAAAAAAAGAAAAGTTGATGGTAGCCTCTATAATAAAAATTGAAAGTAATTTTTATGAAGCACCAGTGTAGGAATCAATTATCACTGAAGATCAAATAACTGGTGATAAAACTTTTCAAACAAATTCTTTTACAAATGATTATTTAGGAAAATCAGTTTTATTTGAAAGAAATTATTCTTTACTTTCACAAGAAGATTTTGAAGACATTTCGAAAAATCGAATGTTATCTGATACAGTTATTAAATGTTTTCAAGATATGTTAAAGAAAGCTAACCCTTATGCAAATGGACTTCAAGATCCCATATTGGGTCAATTATTAAAGTTTGATGTTATTGGTTCTTTACCATTTGTACAAATTATATATAACGGGGATTACCATTGGCTTGCCATCAGTACATATGGTTGTTCATATGGTGAAATAAATGTGCTTGATAGTAACTTTCATGGGTGTTTAAGCCTTGAAACACAAAAACAAATATGTGCCCTTTTAAAGTACAAAAAAGATGAGATTACAGTAAAAGTGCTTTCAGTACAGCAACAAGATGGTGGTATTGATTGTGGTTTGTTTTCAATAGTCTTTATTGAATTTATTTTATCACAAAACAGGTATCCTATAGAAGATATTTGGTTTGATCAAACAAAGTTAAGAAATCATGCCCTTTCCTGTTTAATAAATAATTTAATAACTCCTTTTCCACTTACAAATAATGCAAGCCGTAGATGCTCTCCAAAGGAATTTAAATTAAAACTGTACTGTTCTTGCAGGATGATTTGGATTCCATCAGATAGAATAATTTGTGGAAGGTTTTGTATTGCATGTTTTATGTTTGTTATGGAGTGTACATATAATGCCTGGCTAGTAAGTGACCGGGTCCCCGGTCCCGGCTAAAAACAGAGGTTTTTTGCAAACCCGGCCCCGGCTAAACAAACAAAATTTGCAGAGGTTACTAGCTGGGGCTAACAAATATAAATTCAACTATTTTCTAGTATTTATCAATTTCTTTACATTTAAATACTTGAATAGCTCAACTATGTAATTCTAATGATTAAAATTACAATTAAAAAGTTACTTACATTTTAAATGTAAATGCAATTTTACAATAAATTTATCTTCTGAAATTTATTTTAGGATATTTTTGCCCCGGTCACATATTAACCCTGGTCGCTTACTATGCCTGGCTGTTTTGGTTGTAGCTGTGGCTTTGTTTAATTTAATTAACTCAGAGGTGTACACTGGATTTTTAGATAAATAAGTTTTGGCACTTATAGACATTGCAAACTTTAACTTTTGTATGTTCACGCTTATGTCAAATAAGAATGTTTAGCAAAGAGTTGTGGTGATTGGCGTTTGGGAACAAAAAACCTCTAATGGGCCTACCCAGCCAATGTGGGAGCAATGAGTTAGTAAAATATTTTCTTTACTATTTTTATCTAAATTTATATCCATTAACAAATTTCAAATTTCATGCAATAACATCTTTTTATGACCCTGCAAATTTTACAGCCCCCTCAAATTATGGGCGGTTAAAACTTTATATAGTTATAATTTTAGAAAAATTAGAGATTATTGCACAATGAATATAAATTTAGATTAAAATAGTAGAGAAAATATTTTATAAACTCATTGCTCTCACGTTAAGGACTGGGTAGGCCCCAAAAAATAAAAAATTTCTGTTTCCAAGCTCCAATCAACACAATTCTTTGCAAAACATTCTCATTTGACATAGGTATGAATATGAAAAAGTTTGTAGTTTGCACAATGCCTGTAAGTGACAAAGCTCATACATCTAAAAATCCAGTAAAAATCTGTAGCTATATATATATGTGTGTGTATGTGTGTGTGTGTGTGTGTGTGTGTGTGTGTGAGTGTGTGTATATTAAGGCCCTGTGAATCTGCATTTTTAGTTTCGAATCAATCAGGTCTTGATTTACGAATCAAATTGAATAACGAATCAAATCACTAATATGAGGAAATCCAAATTTAACCATCTTTTTTCACACAAAAAAAATCTACTTATAATTTTTTTTTTTTTTTGCACAGAATAATTTTTAAGGCTTATTTGAAAGCATACTGCTTTCAAATAACCCTTACAAATTATTCTGATATTATTCTGATTTCAAATAACAATTACTTTCAATTACAATTACTTTAATCTTTTAAAACTTTTTATGTATCTCTGGGTGAGATACATAAAAACATTTTGATAGCATTTAAAAAGTTTGATATCTGAAAAAACAATAACATCCACAAAATAAATAGTGATTCAAAAAACCTGAATATTTTTTTTCGAATCTAAGCAACTCTTGATTTTCGAATTGATTCGCAGGGCCCTAATATATATATATATATATATATATATATATATATATATATATATATATATATATATATATATATATATATATATATATATATATATATATATATATATATATATATATATATATATATATATATATATATATATATATATATATATATATATATATATATATATGTATATATATATATATATATATATATATATATATATATATATATATATATATATATATATATAATATCATATTTTTCATTAACGCAGTCAAGTCAAGGCACCTTTGTTTTACTTATTGATGCGGCAAAACATGATAACAAAAATTTTACTTGTTAATGCGGCAAAATATCAAAAATCAAGTAGTTAAACGTAATCAACCTTGGGTAACGAAAGACATTCTCAAGCCAATAATAATTAAAAACAAACTTCATAAAAAATATTTAAAACTAAAAAACTGTAGAATAAAATATTTTAAAAAATTTAAACACTATCGTAATAGTATAAGCAACCTTCTAAGGTTTAGCAAAAAGAAATATTGCACAAACTTTTTTAACCACAACATCAATAGCATAAAAAACACCTGAAAAGGCATAAAAGAGTTGATAAATATTAAACGAAATAATAGTAATTCTCTAACAAGCATACTCATTAACAACATGTCAAACTATTTTAATAACTTCCGAAATTCCAAATTCTAAATTCAACTATCATGAGTACCTGACCAATCCTACTAGCAACTCTTTTTATATGCAACCAATAACGAAAGAGGAAACTCTTGGTTATATAAATTCCACTATTATAGAAGGGAGGAGTGTTGGACCAAACAGTCTTCCATCAAAACTTTTTAAACTGGTGTCAGCAACTCTATGTAAACCAATTAGTATCATTTTAAACAATTCATTTTGCAAAGGAACATTTCCCGATGCCTTTAAGCTAGCTCAAATTATTCCGATTCACAAAAAAGGATCTACAATTGACTGCACTAACTATCGTCCAATATCTATTCTTTCTAATGTAAGCAAAATATTTGAAAAAGTTATGCATAATAAACTATATAACTTTCTAAACCAAAATCAAAATGCTTATATAAACACCAGTTTGGTTTTCGTAAAAACTATTCGACAGCTCACGCTCTTATTGAAATTCCAGAAAGTATAAGAGCTGCTCTTGATAATGGCAACTTTGCTTGTGGAGTTTTTATCAATTTGCAAAAAGCTTTTGACACCGTAGACCATGAAATTCTCCTCTCAAAGCTTAACTATTACGGTGAACGTGGCATATCCTTTCAGTGGTTCAAATCAGACCTTTCTGATCGTCAACAGTTTGTAACTATAAATGGAACCAGTTCAGATATTAAAAACGTTTCAATTAGTATACCTCAGGGATCCATATTAGGTCCTCTACTCTTTATTATCTATATTAATGATCTTAATCTTTCTATCAAACATTCAAAAACGTATCATTTTGCTGATGATATTAATCTTCAATTAATAACAAACTCTCTCAAAAAACTTAATAAATATATTAATATATTAATGGCCAGTCTTGTTTAATGGCTTAGAGCAAATAAAATCTCATTGAATACAAAAATAATCAGAAATAATTATATTTTCAACTCAAAATACTAACTTTTCTAAAAAGACTTAGAAAAATATTCTAAAATACTTGAAATTTCGATAAAGTGGTCAAAAAATGTACTTGTCTAGTTACATAACTTATCTTGGTGTTGTTTTAGATGAAAAACTTTCATTCAAAACACACATATCCGATCTTACTCTGAAGTTAAGCCGTTCCAACGGCATGTTAGCAAAAGTTCAACATTACGTTAACTTTGAAACATTGTTCTCTATATATCACTCAATTTTTGGTTCACATTTACGATACGCATGTCAAGTTTGGGGCAATCTAAAACCGTAAGTCTCTCTAGAGTTGTTTCACAAAATAGAGCGGTACGGACTATTCATTTTTGTCCGAGAAATTTTTCTACTGACATCCTTTATCTGACATCCAAAATTCTTCGTTTCTATGACTTAAATCAATTCTTAAATTGTTCATTTGTCTGGGATCAACAAGATGATGTCCTTCCTACTATATTTCAATACTACTTTAATAACAGAACAACATGTGGGCATTACTTATGATCAGTCACCTATAACAACTTAACTCTTCCACTAAAACAGACAAGTTAATTCCATTACATACCAGTGTATCCTTTCTTGGAACTCCCTTCCGAACACCCTAAAATTTGGTCTCATCCATAGGTTCAAGAGTCTGTTCTTAAAGTCACTCCATCATTTCTAACTAAATGGTTACGCTTAACTTTACTTTTTACTTTTCTTTCTTTCTACCTTTTGACTTATTTTTTATTTTTATTATAGTTTAATATTTTATTATAATTTTATTTTTAATATTTTATTTTAAATTATAATTTTTATTATAATTTACTAATTTTATTATAATTCTTGTTAAAGTATATGTGCATATATAAATGTACATTATATTAATAATGTTATATATATTCAAAAAGTCTGATTTTTTTGGTATAGTTAAATAAATTTTTATGCAATTTTACTTTTATTAGTTAATATTATGTTATTTAACTTCCTTTTATAACCTATTTTTTTTATGTGGTTTTACTTACTACATATTATTATTATTATTGTTATTATTATTATTTATCTTATTTAGGTCATTGCGCTTTATTAGTGAATCACTATTTGCAATGACCTGTGTTTTTGTAACATCTGTAACACGAAATATATTGTTATTGTTGTTTATTGTTTATAAAATTTGTGATTTTGTAGCTTTTTAAAAATCAATGCAAATTTCATTGAACTTTTAAGAAGAGAACAAAAGATTTTTTCTAACAACTAAGATTAACGAAAATCATAAAGTTTGTTTTTCTCGCTATTGAATCTATATTTTTATTCTTTTAGTCCTATGGTTAAGATGATTATGGGTAAACGATCTTTGATGTTTTTTTTTTTAAATTTTCAGCTTTTTTGAAGCTGTTGTGACGTAACATTCGCAAAAAATTGATTTAGCTACACTATCCAGTCTTCTAAATCTTATTTTGCAAACAATAAACTTTACGTGGTTAAAGTATTCCTAAAATCTCAATTTGAGTCTTTGCTGAAATACAACAAGGATTTTTCAATTTAGGACTTAACAAATGCTGCTGAGAGGATCTCCTAATAACTAAAGCAGTGAAAGAAAGTTAGCAACATTTCCAAGTTTATCTATATTTTCAAACTATACAGAGGTATAGATTGTTTTTCACAATTAACAACAGCTTTTATTTATATATATATATATATATATATATATATATATATATATATATATATATATATATATATATATATATATATATACATATATATATATATATATATATATATATATATATATATATATATATATATATATATATATATATATATATATATATATATATATATATATATATACATATATATATATATATATATATATTATTATTATTATTATTATTATTGTATATATATATATATATATATATATATATTATATATATATATATATATATATATATATATATATATATATATATATATATATATATATATATATATATATTAGCCACCATACTCACCCCCTCTAGTACCGGGCCTGATTTATGGAGCAAATATGTAGTAGACTGTTTTTTTATATAATGAAGTACAAAAACGTTCTCGTTCGTTCAGTTTAACAGCGATCAATATTATGTAAAGAAATACTTTATATAATAAATCCTATTTGCTTCTAATTTAATTATATGATGACAAAAATAAGATTCAAACCTGAGCAAGTTTTGCAATATCGGTTAGGAAGGAGGCGTGAACTTTCTATTAAATCCTCATCCGCGGTGCTCTATGATAAGACCGTAAGGACTTCTTAGAGCACCTAAATAAAATTATAAAAAAAATTTTTTTATTTAAAAATATTTTTTAACCATAAGCTATATTAAAAAACCAAAAAAGTAAACTTTAAAAGTTTGTCATCTGGTCACGTGACCGGGGCAAGACGACTCACGTTTTCTGTTTCTAATTCATAAAATTTATAAAATATATAATAGTTTTATTAAATTTTTAAAATATATATATATATATATATATATATATATATATATATATATATATATATATATATATATATATATATATATATATATATATATATAGCCCTGTCTTTACCCATGTCCAGCCTAGGCAGCCGCTGCAGGGCCATTGCGCTTAGAGAGGCCAGCCAGCAAGCAATCATTTTTTTTTTTAAATTAGTTAAAAAAATATATCTTTTCTCGACAATTTCTTTTTTAAGAAAAGTAGTTCAAATAATTATTCACTCAAATTAGTGAAAATATTAGTGAAAAATCATTCAAACATTCAGAATACAAAAAAAAATTTAGAAGTGATCAAGTAGAAGTGTGAAGTGATCAATTAACAACATGGATAAGCCTAGCAGGAGAAATTCTGGTGGCAAAAGAAAGAAAGAGTCAAATTTAAATCGAATCGCACACCTAAATGTTGTTATGCTCTTGCCAAAGTTAATTTTTCGCAAAAAAACAAAACAAAAAAAAATGTATTATCACAAGAGGCA